TCAGTGCAGTATAATGCTTACATGTCAGAGTATAAAACTTAATTTGTGGCTTGAAAATGTTTCTGACACAGATGCTACTGCCTGCCAAATGCAGTCATCCTTGTGTAACCCAATCAGTGTTGAGTGTATATGGAAGTTATGACATTGAAGCGTTGCCTTTATTTTTGCCATTTATTAACGACTGTTTGATGGATGCATTATATGTAAGGAAAGTTAGATTTTAATGTCTGTAGTACTGAATTTTTCTAGAATGTGAAATTTGGATGCCATTTATGGAAGGAGATGGTGATTCATTTTATTTTGTGACTTTTCATGCAATATGAGGATATTTGAGTTAAAAGTGAGTAGGTGGAAGAAATGTAAATATTCATATTTTTAAGAAGAGAGTACATTCATTGATGTTAGAAAACTTTTACTTTAGTGGTCTCTGCATTCATTGGTATCAGAAAATTCTCACTTTAGTGGTCTCTCTCTCTCAGGTGTAACGAAGAGTGGTATGCTAATTACATTTGTGAACTTTTGTGATAGCACTTTTGATTTGCAGTATCATTAAATTGTGCCATTTTCCTCCCTTGCATCTTTAGAATATAATGACCCTTATTAAAACTGTGAATTTTCAGGTTATGGATGATTCAGCTAACAATATGTATTTTATGGATTAACAATCAATGGATTCTGATGGTTTCTGTGACATAAAGATACATATTCTATATTCAAACATACACATTATAGACTATAAACACACCTGTGCCTGCACTTGATTTCAGTGAAATACCCCTTTACAAGAAAGTACTTATTTTGTTGAAAGCTCATTTCCTTTTGTCTCTTTTTTTTTTCCTTCAACAGGCTACATTACGTGTTGGCAGACTTCTAATTAACAAATTTCTTAAATAAGGAGATAATGTATGGAAACTGGTAAAAACTTACGTTTTCACTAAACGCTGTTGTATTTAGGCGTTTTATAGGATGAAATAAACATTTAATTACAATTTACTAGTAAAATAAAACAGTTTAACTTGTTTCTTTGAAACTATCCCAGCTATGAAACAGTTTGCATTTATCAGGCAGTACTCAGTCAGCCTCCACTATAAGAAAACACTATTCAGTATCGGCTTGGATATAAGGCAACATGACTAAATGTTTGGATTATATGGGTTTTCCCCTTTTTTGTGTGTGGTACTTGAAGAAATCAAAGCTGTTTGCATGCTGAGCAGATACTCTACCATCGCTCTAAATCAATAGCCCTTGGAGTTTTTTTTTTAACAGGATCTGGCTTCCAATCTGTGATCCTGTGCCTCTCCTTCCCAAGTGCCTCCACACCTGGCTAAATTATATAATTTTTAAAAGAAATGTAATTGACTCAACACTGATTCCACTACTTCTATAGTTTACCTTTTATAGGATTTTTATTAACGTTATCTGAGGGGTTACATGTATAAAAATGTTACACAGCATATGCTTTTCATACATGAGGCTCTAGGTTCCATCCTCAACACCCAAAGCACTGTCTTTTGACAGTGTTACATAATTGTTTCCAACGGTGGTTTTTAGATACACGTTCCACTGAATATTATCAGATTGACTCTGTGGTCTAGTACTATACCATTATATTTCAAAAATGTAAACTCAAAGGTAACCTAAGATTTTTTTTATAGAAAAAAATTGTAAAATAATTATTGCCAAGATCAAAGATTCTAAGATTGTAAAGGGAATAGAATGGACTTCTATAGAAGGGAATTCATTGACTTGATTTCTTATATGTATAAACAGCTCTTAAAGAGGATAAGGATATATGATAGATGAAGACTTCTGGGGATATATCATCATATATGTACTATATATGTAAAATAATTGCATACTTATTCATTCATGATTAATGTTGCAGAAAGCAGGTCAAAATATAGTATGGTAAGACTCAAGAGTGACTTAATAATAATGTAATAAATGCCACCTCAGCCAGTGTCATAAACCTAGTTGACAGTACATACCTACTATGGCTTGCTTATAGTTTGTCTTCTCAATCATGCTTTGGAAGCTTGTTCTTCAATGGGATGATGTTAGGAGGTGGTAGCATCTTTTATGGGCCTGGTGGGGTATACTTAGGTTGTGGAGGGGGTTGCTCCTGGAAGGGGTTGGTGTCGTTTTGTGGGATTTGTCAGTTAGTTGCTGAGAGAGTTCTTAGAAGAATCTGTGCTTGATATCCTACCGTTTGACCTGTCCCTCTTAAACATACTTCCATCAGGATTGTTTTAGTTTGCTTTCTGTTGCATGATAAAAAACTGACCAAAACCAGCTTGGAGGGGAGAAGGTTTATTTGGCTTAGATTATAGTCCATCCTTCAGAGACACCAAGGAAGGAATCTGGAGACAGGAATTAAAGCCTACAACATAGAGGAGTGGTGCTTATTGACTGTCTTTCTCAGCTCCCTTTCTTATAATAGTGCAGGCCCACGTACATAGAGTCTGCGCTGCTCACAAAGGCTAGGCCCTCCTCCATCAATTCGCAATCAAGAAAATGACCCACAGGCATTCCCACAGGCCAGTCCAATGGAGGGAATTCCTTAATTGAGGTTTCCTCTTCCTGAGTATGTCAAGTTGAGAACTGAAGCTAACTATGGCAATGATGCCATCTACCATTTTGTGAGATAGCCAGATAGGTTGTCTCCAAAACTGGAACCATTGCTGCTGGGTCTTTCAACTCCCAAAACTCTGTGATAAAAATCCCTTTTTTCTTTATAGAGTATGATGCTCCAGGTGTTTTGTTGTAGCAATGGAAGATGGGCTAATACAGTAATTTATAGGATGTAATAAAAATGTTATGTCACTTATATTATCTTCCTCTCCAAAACTCATAACCCCAGTGTAACTAGGAGGAAAACATCAGTTTTCAGCGCAGTCTTCTGCAAGAGGAACCAGTACTTTTAACCTCTGAGCCATCTCTCTATCTCTCTGTACATAACTTTAAATGAAAAATATTTTCAGGGCTCCTGGATCCATATCAATAATGCTAAGATCTAACACTCTTGTATGGTTAAATAAACAAGCACAAGTTTCCTACAAACATAATTTTCTTACTAACTTGACTTCTTTTAAAATTTGGGGCCTACCAGTAGCAATTTATTTGGCACATGAACAAATGCCTAACGAGAATGCTGAATAGTGCACTGACTTCTAGATGCTTCCGAATTTGGGAGAGGTTATTATTAGCCCGTGGCTTTTACTAATTATTAATAATGATATTATTAGCTCATAGGCTAAGTAGACCTGCATGGTACTACTCTGCCTTCTCTCAGGTTCATGACTCTAGGTATTCAGAGGATAGTTTGAGCAGTCCGTGAGGAGTCATTTGTTTGTAAACATAAATCTTATATGACTGATCCATAGATGAGTGGTATATATCATGGAGCTATAAAATTTATATTTGTCTCCATCATATGTATATGACAACACTATTTATGAAAATATTTATATATACAGATTCATGATGTGTGGTTAAAAATGTCATTTTATTAAAATAATATGGTTTAGCTCATGGTTAGTTTAGTCTTCTTTGTCTTTTAGGTGTGTATCCCATGGCCTTGTGCATACAAAGCATAGGCTCTTTGTTTGCTCCAGCCTCTTGTAGTTTGTAGTCTGCTATTAAAATGAATTTTTCCATGAATGTTTATGATTTATATGGTATAATGTAAACTTACATATATTTGTAAGTGACATAAGCATAATCATACATGTATTTTTATGTACTTTAAAAAGTTGTCTCAACAGCCATCGATATCAAGCTTGGAAACATTAATGGTCTCCCAGAAGTCAGAAATTGAATATTTACAGGACAGACTGAAAGCAGCAAATGAAAAACTGTTGGAGAATAGATCTTCTACTCAGAAATACTCAGAGAAGAGCATCACCCATGCAGAACGAAAACACAAGGTAGAGATTTTTGTCATTTTGTGTGTTAGTCAAGAGAAGGCCGGCAAGACCGGTTAAGGAGAAGTTAAAAAATGCAGAAAAACATGCATTTCTTTCCTAATATATATTGAAATTAAAAACTGTTAGATGCCAAATGCTTGATATAGTTCCTTCTAGGAAAGGAGATTTCCTTTTTAAAGACCAAAAAATATGTGGCTAAATTAATTATATTATTAGTAATATATCTGTTTTGTCAGAAAAGTAATAGTATATTGAACAGTTTTGGTAAGCTTCTATCCTCTACCTAATAGAGCTTATTTTAAAATGTGGCTATTTATTTTTCTAGTTTTAATTGAAAGGAAAATGTATGTAATATTCCTTTTCTATTCCAATATGCTATATTAAGCACAGCCCATTTGTGATATAAAATACCAAGTAGATTTTTAACATCAATTTGTATTTGTATAGATTTAAAGAACAGCAATAAAGATAAATTGACAAATTTTACCATAACTGATTTCACACTTTTTCTTTTTTAATATGGTATTGTATCTGCATAGCATTATATAGCATAATACTTACAGAATGTTAACTAATATAAAAACTATATTATAAAGCTACACTATATTATATTATAAATATATTTCTAGATAAGTTGAAATAACAATTCCCTAAAAGTAAGGAGTTTTAGACAATTTTTTTCTTACATGTAACATTAGCAATAGAGGAAGACTATGTCCTGTAAGCAAAAACAATGTTTTCAGGATGATTGCTTTTAGTTTTTTTCCAAAATTTTCTATAAGTAGAGTGAGCTGTCTTAATAAAGACATATTTGAAATTAGACTAATGGATCTATGAACTATTACTTACACCTTATAATAAGTAATTTTCAAAGGAATGAAATTCATTTATTCATAAAAAATAACTACATTTTATAGTTCTTGTCATTTTGAAGGAATTTTATAAGACTCATTTAACGGAAAGAGAGCATTCCTTAATATTGAAAAACAACAGTATATATGACCTTATTTTGTTGCTTGCTGTATTGCTGAAGTTTTAAAATATATTACTTTTATCTCTCCTACTCTTCATGAAAGCCCAGAAAAGGAGAGGTAAATTTTGAACATTTTCTTTCTCTTTTGTAAGGACACGGGTAAGGAGGAACACTGCTGCCCAGCTCAATAGTTGCTTGCCTGTATTCCTTCTCCAGATTGGTATATGAAGCTGTATATAATACAAACACACATTCTTGTCTCTAGCTAGCCACATTATAGTTAATGACCATATGGTCATTATGGTATAAGATCTACTGTCTGTTGTATTTATATTCCTCAAGCATATTGTTCCTTCAACTTCACAGTGTGTTAAACTATTTCAAAGGGAAAAAAATCCTTTCCCTCTTGTTTCTGGTTGTCCTATCAAGTGTAACCTTGGACCCTTATAGAGCAATTAGACCAGCCTCTATCCCCTCCTTTGTAATGAGGTTTCTTGCATTTCTGAGTCTATAACCCTTTAGTCTTCCCTAATGGGACATCATTATTCTGAAAGAAACAATGTAAATGTAAATGAATATTCTCATTAACGAGTCACAGAGAAACCTTTAGCGGTAGCACTGTGGTAATTCTGCTTGTTATTTCTCTGGTATTCCATGCAGGACTTTTTTTTATAATTCATTATTAGTATTCAGAATTACTTGTTCTTTAATTTTGCATGTCTTTCATAATCCAGTGTTTCAACTACTTCAACCATGTCCTTGTTTTATTCTCGAGGAACCACCTGTAAAACGCTCAAGGTCTTTGTCCCCAAAGAGCTCATTCATGGACTCTGAGGAACTAAGGAAGCTGAAAAAAGCTGAAAGAAGGATTGAAAACATAGAGAAGACACTACAGCTAAAGGTGAACATTAAAGCATTTCTTTAGTTGTCATTATGCAAAGATAAACATACACAAAGTAAGCATACAGTTCACAAATTGTTGTTTGCCGTTTTTCTTTTCTGAATAACCTGTGTGGAAGCATGCAGTGTTTTAGAAAAGATTTCTGCCAAGCATGGTGGCGCACACCTGTAGTCCCAGCACTTAGGAGGCAGAGGCAGGCGGATCTCTGTGAGTTCAAGGCCAGTCTGGTCTACGTAGTGAGTTCCAGGACAGCTGGGGCCACAGGGAGACCCTGCTTCAAAAAGACCAAAAGAAAAAAGATTTCTTAGACTCACAAAATAGTAAAAATATTTATTTCTTGAAAATGAAATATGTGTTCACTAAATTCATGATTTGGCAGTATTTTGCCCAAAAATTGGGAACAAATTTCTTATAGTATCTCAGAGACAAAAACATTGGCCCATAGCAAGTAAAAAGAGAATTTCTTCTTGTTCTTTATATACGATAAACATTTAAGACTAAATTGGGTTAAACATCATTATATTAACTTGGCTCACATTACTTATAAGTACTGTATTAGTTGCTAATCTCTTTGCTGTGACCAAATATGTACTATGGCAAGAAATGACTTAAAGGAGAAAGGATTAATCTTGGCTTAAAATGTAAAGGGATATACACTGTGTATAAGGTAGGTGAGGAGGAATGCTGGCCGAAGCTTGTTGGTGGGACACTCGCATTCTGATGGAACAGGATACAGACAGAAGGGTATGCTGGCTTTTTCCTTTTTCATTTTCTATTCAGTGCAAGACCCCAGCCCATGGATGTTGCCCACTTTGTGAGTAGGTCTTTCTTTCTGAGCTGAAGTTCTCTGCACACCCCCTCACAGAAATACCCAGAGTTGTGTCTCCTAGATGATTCTAAATCCAGGTAACTTGATAATGAAGATTATCCATCACAGTCAATTTTACATAAGAATTACATAGAGCTGAGGATGGAGCTCAATGGCAGAGCACTTACCTATATCAGCACAGCCTTGGGGTCAGTCTGTAACCCTGCAAAAACAGAACAAGACAACCACACACACACACACACACACACACACACACACACACACACACACTGAAAATACCAAATAAAAATATATTATCTTATATTTCAACTCAATTTATTACAGAACAAGTGGCATTTGAATTAGTGCTCTGCCCAGGTTTAAGAAGCGTATATCTTTGAGAACTCATATTTCCTAATTCATATTTGGCAAACTTTCTTTATCAGAGGAAGTTGTTAGTGTATAATAAGCCAGTTTTACATGACTATATTGGAATCTGGGTGCCTTGCTCATTTATTTATCTATTTATGTATTTTTACAGTGCTAGGACTGGAACACAGAGCCTCACACTTGCTAGTTGAGCACTCTATAATGGAGTTTTATTCCCAGGTCATTGAAGTCTTAAGTTTTTCTCTGAGTTTAATGTGGAAGTTCTTCATTTGTTGTTGCCTGGTCTTACTCTGTTTGAGATTCTATCATATAATTGATTCTCTGTAGTCATTCTTTTCACAGTGCTAGATGTTGAATGTGGGTCTTATGTATGATAGGAAAGCACTATACCACTGAGCCTTACTCCCAGTCTTAAATACTATATTCTTTTCCATGTAATACCTAGTTCTTTTTAGAATATTTTACTTAGTTTATGTTTGTTCTAGAACAAAATTTGTTTAGAGAAATAATTAACTATATTGTATAAATAATAAAAGTTTCTGACTTTCCATCAAAAACAAAGTGTTAATTTATGTTTTTCAGTCAAACTGGTAGTTTTAAAACAAGCAAAAAGATTATATGTTCTTTCTACCAAAAGTAAAATCTATATTAGCCAGCATTTAGCTTAGTTTATGATGGAGTATTCAAATTAGTCAGGCATGTATTATTCACTTATCGTATAATTTATTGTTGTGATACAATGAGATGCTATGCTTGGTGAGCTTTTCTTCAGTTCAGAATGTGATAAATGGGGCCATGGATGAGCTCAGTTGGTACAGTGCTTACCTAGCATGCACAAAACCCATGGTTTGAGACCCTAGCATTGCATAAAACTGGACCCCTAGTTCATGCCTGCAATCCTAGCACTCAAGAAATGGGGGTAAGAGGATTAGAAGTTTGACTACTTTATAAGTTCGAGGCCAGCCTGAGGTTGCATTGTAGATGTGTCACTTAGACTTCGGCAATTCATAGACAATGTCTGTGTGTCACCAGTTATGGTACTTGGTAATAGTCTCCAACTAGTGCAAAATAACCTTCTTTGATGAGTGGTGACTGGGATATTTGTCTGTAAATGTAAGGATACATATTTTGCCCATAGTAACAAATTACATTAGTCTAGGGATGTGACAGTGTTAGGCTTATTTCTAAGATCTGTACCACACTTGAGTTTCCTCCCATTGAGTAGACTTTTAGTCCAATTAGGTAGCTGTTGATTACCCCTAAGATAAAAGTGCCACTACTGCACCAATGACATATTCTGTGCTGTCCATTAATGTGGTTAATTGGTCTTGAAGCTGGTGTTGGACCATTGATCAATGTTTTCCACTGGCACCTTCATAGCTCTCTCCAAAGCTATGAGAGCTAGCCTTCAGGGAAAGTAGTTTCAGGTCAGTTGAAGCTCTATTGCTCCAAACCCAGTGTCCAACGTATGTTCTGTCTTAAGCAGTAGGGTCCATCTTCAAGTTCTGGGAGACCATCAAGGACTATGGCAATAGCCTGTATAACTTTGGGAGTCTCTTGAACCACCTTGGCCAACTATCGAAGGTTTCACTTGTCTGAAATTATTTCTTGTTATGTAGCCTTTAGCTATCCACATGGACTCATGTGAAGATACTGTATATATAATTTGTCATTAGGTTGTTGGACTCATATGATTCCCTCTTTATTTTTTTTAATACTGGCTAGGCATTATTTATTTCTCTTCTCTCTCTTATCTAAGCCTTCCACCAAAATTTCCCCATTTAAAGTATCCCCATTTCTCCCCTGCTAATATCAGTCTCCTATGGACCCATCTCTTTTGAGCTCCTTTTTCTTTATCCCCAATGTTCCTTATATAACCCCTCCTCCCTCCTCCCATTTAACTACCCCCATTTTATCCATTTCTCCCTTAGTAACACCTGTCTCCTACTGTTTTTCTCTCTCATGTTCTTTCTTTCCTTTTACCTCCCTGGTTCCTGTTCATTATTCTGGTTCCTGCAGTTATATCCGGATACATACTCACACATAAGGATTTGATGTTAAGATCCGCATATAAGGGAGAACATATGTCGTTTGGTTTTCTGAGTCTGTGTTACTTCACTTAGTATAACAGTTTCTAGTTCCATCCATTTACCTTCAAATTTCATGTGTCCATTGATGCTATGAATCTCTCCTTTGCTGATTTTCATACACTTGACTGCTTGATTCTCTTAGCACTTTTCAATGGTATTTAATATAATACAGTATTATAGTTGCTTCTGTTGCTGTGATAAAATACTCTGACCAAAAGCAGCTTAAGGAAGGAAAGGATTTATTTGACTTAAGCTTCTAGGTCACAGTCCATTACTGAGGGACATCAAGGCAAGTCAAGGCAAGAACCTGAAGCAGAAACCATGGAGAAATACTGTTTTGCTGGCTTACTCTCTGACTCTTCTCATAGGCTCATGCTTAGCTACTAGCTCTTATGTAGGCCAGGACCACCTCCCTAGGGATGGTGCCACCTTCAGTGGGCTGGATCTTCATGCATCAATTAATAATCAAGACAGTCCTCAGACATGGCCACAGGCCAGCCTGATCTAGGAATTTCCTTAATCAAGGCTCTCCTCTCAGATAACTCTAAGCTGAATCAAGTTGACAATTAAAGCTATCTAGGACGTACAGCTTATATGTATTTTTCAGTGCCCTGATATATTACATATAATTTATGGATTCTGATGAAATTAACTATCACTAATGCAATTCTTGAATAGTTTGCATTTTAGAATTAGGGAAAACAGTAGTGACAACACTAATGAGAAGCTCAGTTTGTTGCTTTCTTTCAACCCGTGATCATTATGAAAAGAAACTGAGAAATTTTAGATGTTCCATTCTGTTAATTTTAACTTCTTGGTCAATCTTTAAAGTTGTGTTTAGTTTCTAAGGCCTCTAACATGGAACTATTATGATTCAACAAACAATAGATTTATATGTAATAATTTTTTTTA